CTCCCTTTTTTTGTCTTCTTTGTCAATTATTATACAAGGTTCATCTTGTTTCTTCCTTGAAAAATGTTAGATATTTAACAACCATTTCTTTTAGTTAAAAAATTTGATTTGGTTTGAGTTTAAATTGTCTATTATTTAATCAAGCATGTCTTTGTTCATGTTATCACATATTTCTAAGAATATAAATAAATATTACATTTATTAGAAACTACAATTAATTATTTTCAGTTCACCTCTGATTTTTTTCCTTTTTTTTTTTTTTTTGTTTATTCACCTCTACTTTTGAAAACATTGCTTTTCTTTTTTTTTGGGCAAATTCGAAAACATTGTTTATTACATCTATATAGATGCCGGACGTTGCAAATTGCAAAGTGTATCATTGTTCTAATTTTTTTTAATTTTTATTTCATTTATGGGGTTTTTCAGTTCCCTTATCTTATTTATGTGCCTTTGTAAGAGACTACAGAAATTTAAGGACACCGACTGAAGAAGAGTTCTAAACTTTTAACTCGATCTAAATGCTAATCCAACAGAACACCTAAAAACCTAGAATGTATAATTTTCAGAGAACCAGAAAATCAACACATGTGCTCAAAAATCTAACGGCAAAAAAATCTCAGTCAAATGTAAAAATGTCAGTGAATCAAAACATTGACACATGTGCCAAGAAGACTAATAACGGTAAAAAAATCTCAGACGAATGTATAATGCTCAGAGAATTAACAATAGAGACACGTGTGCCAAAAATCTAACGGTCAGAAAATCTCAGAGGAGCGTAGCCGACTTTGTGTTTTCTAATGTCCACCGTTGATAACTATTTCCTTACGAATTGAGTCGATCTACACTACACTGTTAGATTTAGTACCTCCTCACTATAAATAAAGCACACACCTCTTTTGTCTCCAATTTTCTCATTCTTTCGTCTTCTACAAAGCAGAGGTTCTTTGATTGGGTTTCAAGCGATTTAGTTTATTGATCTCTCTAAATTATTTTTTGTTGATTCCCAAGGATTTGAAAGAAAATTGATTTTATTCGATCTTCTCAGTTCTTGTTTCACAGGTTGCTTCTATTCTACGGTGTGGTACGGTCAGGGGCGGATCTAGAGTATAATAAGGTGGGGCACGTGCCCCACACTACTTATTAAATAGTTATCGGTTGAACATTACAGATATTATTCTATTAGCTCAGTTGGCCTAAAGTGCCCCATGCTGCTATACTTCAGGAAAGGGGTTCGATTCTTTTATTTCAGTTTTTTGGTTTGCTTTTTTTTTTTTTAACGATTTCTCATTTCTTTGCCACAGCCCATGTTCTATTTTTAATATCTTCCTACATTTTTAATTCTTTTTATAATTAATTGACTGTATTTTTCTTATTCCTTTTAAATAAAACTATGCTCTTTTCATTATATTGTTATCTTTCTAGTTTCAATTTAACTAACAAATTTTAAGACATGTTTTTGTTTTTGTTTGGTGGGAGTTTTAAGACATGTTTGTCTACAGTAAAAAAATTAATACCTACATTTTTATTATTATTTTCAGTAAAACTAGTAAATTAATGAAGATTATTATTTTTTGTAGTTTATTTAATGTTTAGAATCTAAATTCGTGTAATATTGTTAGATGTGTAAATCGAAATTTATTTTAGTTAATATTAAATTGATGTTTTTAAAATTTATCTAATACATATAATTAATTATATTTAGAAACCAGTAGATATAATATTTTCAATTTTTTAATATTATTAATTATAAATTATTTGTGCCCCATGTAAACTATTTTTCTGGATCCGCCACTGGGTACGGTTTCTAAAATTGAATCGCTTGCTTCTTTTTATATACTTACGCAAGTTATTAGGGTTTTGTGATCGACAAGATCATCATCGTTCCCACTAGCGTATGAGGTTACTTATGATATTTAGGGTTTTGGTTTCTAAATTTCATGGGTGGTTTTCTTAATTACGTTCAGATAAATTTATTGATACAGGTGATTGAAGTTTCAGAGACTATCGATCAAGAGATCAAAGGGATTTCAAGAAGTCTCTTGTTCTTTTTTCTTAATCTTAATTTTGTGTTTTTTTTTGTCAGGATTTACAAGCATTATGGAAGAGGAGGATTCGAAGAAATTAATTTCTTTGCACCGATCATCTTTTTAGGTTTTATTTTCTTCTACTGTTTGATAGCTTAATTCACTTGTTACCATTATTGACTTGTTGAATTTACTTCTTATGCAGATACAAATACAAAGGATATGAGTTTTTGGTATCTTTCTTTTAATGTTCATGGGGTTTCGTCTGTTCTTTTCTACTGTTTGATTCCTTATTTCACACGTTACCATTACTGACTTGTTGAATTTACTTCTTAAGCAGATACAAATAAAGAGGATATATATGCGTTTTTGGTCTCTTTCTTTTTGGGGTTTCGTCTGTTTCTTTCTAATATTAGCCACTTGATTTAGGTTGTCGAGCTTCTAAAACACTTGTATTCTAAGTTTTGGTTTCTAAATTGTGTCTCTGGTTTTATTCTGTTTACGTGTTAATTACTTCTTCTTTTTTTTTGTTATTTTAAATTATTGATGCAGAGGTTTGATTTGTCAGTTGTCATGTAATGTCTTATGGCTGTTTAATTATGGTTTTACGGGTTTTAAGTATTTTCCAATTTTTTTTTGTTTGGTTTTGTTGATTTTAGCTTTTCCGAATAGGTGAATAACTTTCTGTAAACGTTTGCTTACTTAATTCTCTCTTTTTTCTCTGTTTTCCAATTTGCAGAAGGAAACATTTCTCAAACCAGTTCAGTTGCCTTAAGGAATAGTTTCAAATGATTGGTTTCCTTTATTCTGTTTCTTTGTCTCTGCTCCTCTCTCTTTGGATTTATTTGGTTGTTTGTTGGCGCTCTGTTGTTTAATTTGAATTTATGTTTTATTGTTTTCTTGACTACTTACTTCATCTTTGGCAGGGCTCTATTTCGATTAGGTGTCTTGACGAGGTCGTAGCTAGATTCTCACCCCTTGATTAGGTAACTCACTTGTTTTTTATAGGATCATGTCATTTGTACATCGGATAATATATATCGCTTTTGGATATCACTGGATTAATTATCTGGTTACTAACTGTTTTTGTTTTCAAAATAGTTTGACAACATTTAGCGAACCTAGTGGTATATCTATGAAAGTGATTTCTTCTCCAGACGTGAAGCTCTTTTGTTGGTATTTTACATGATTGGATCAGTTGCTCATTTTCTCTTTTCCGTTCTAATTAGTTTTCAAGTTTTTCTTAGGAGTTGAGAGCACTGTGAGCAGAAGGAGTCGAAGCACTGTTCTAATTGCTCATTTTCTCTTTCTCATTCCAATTACTTTTCAATTTTTACGGGTTGAAAGCATTGGGGGAAGAAGGAATTGAAGAAATCATTTTTTGTTATGTTCTATTTACTTTTTACTTTTTGGTTACTAATTGCACTAGGTAACAACGTGCACTATGTGCAGGATAAATCTACGCAGATAAAATTAGTGTTATGAGTAAAGTTAGTTTTGAGGATCTAAAATTTGTTTGTGTAAAAACGAAATATATAACCCGTGAGAATATGTTTAGATCAAACTACTATGTACCAACTAAATATATAATCCGCTATTTCTTCAATCTATGCAAGATTTTTTTTTTTTTTTTTGTGTAAGAATATGTTTCACCGTGAAATATTATATCAATGGTATTAAATAAGGTATTAAATAAGTCAATTTCCTATAGTAATGATAGTTTTTTTTGGAAATTTTAAATATGTGAATAGTAATCAGTTTTTTTTTAATTGGAAAATGTTTTAGATCTAATAATGTTATAATCATTAAATATATTATAAAATAATTAAAATATATTTTAAAATTGAAATGTTGGATTTTTTTTAATTAATTGAAAATAAATATTCCTTAATCATTCAATAGCAATTATGTGTAAATATCCATAAAAATGAGGGCAATAAAAATATATTTTTCTAAAGCTATTTGCTTGTTCAGACAACTGGAAGTAAGTAGAAAGTATGAAAATATGAAAAAATGTTCTGAACTTTTTGCTCTTGTGTTGAAAGAACCGAATCATGTGCCATGTATAATAATCTTTTCGAGCTTTGTTTTGGTTTTTATATTTTGTGATAATATTAGTGTTACTATGTTGCTAAGTTTTGTTATTCCTCTTTGTGCAGTAGTATGCAGCCGTTACTTTCCTTATTGATGGCATGTGTTCATTAACATTGTTCTATATGATTTTCCAAAGTTCGTTTGTTACCATTGGTTAGGGTTTTAGTTTATGTGTGTATTTATCAAAAAGAAAAGAAAAAAAAAAGAAAAAAAAAGAGTTCTTACCAAATTGATGCGTAACAAGGATTATTTTTAGTGTATTAAACAATCGATTGAATCTTTTAGTTAATTATGTTTTTATCATATTTTGTTTTTTATAGTAAGATTTAATTATTTTTGGTAGCCATTTGCAGAGCACGTGCCTTTATTTAATCTGTGTTTCTAAAAACATTTAGTTTCAAAACTCATTATTTTTTTAAATCATTATTTGCATATAATCTACCTTTCATTAAAAAAAAAAAAAAAACAGAGGATTCCAAAACTTTATGACCCCTGGTTTGGATATCGGAAGACAAACCAGTTTAGTACAGCCAATTTAAATCCACTGGCTTCTTTTCCATGTTTCAACTCGCTATTTGCGAAGGAGAATAATTATATACACCCATACAATAACAAATCAATTTGTTCACAAACCAATATAACCATCCTTTTTACCATAACAAATAAGTTAATATAACCATCCTTTTTTGTATAAGAGATATACAAATGATTGCCTTCTAGCAAGTGCTATGTTGAGTTGTCGGTTAATTAAAAATACGACAAAATAAATGACTCAATGGTTAAATCTTGAACCAAACCCACGACATTTCCTGCCTTCTTTTGCATGCTGCTTACTTTAAAGTCGAAAAGTAGACCGAAAAAATGAATGAAGCAGTAACTCAATGGACCAAAACCTCCGGCTATTTTTCAATTCAGAAACATTCTTCCGATTCATAATTTCTAGAAAGAGGAGGGGACATGACAACTTAATAATTCAAAATTATAACCTCCAACCTCTTAACTTAGAGATGTAAAAGGAAAGTTTTGGAGCCCATTTCCATACATATGAATACCATTGGAGACAAAATTCATCATAAAACCGAAACCTGATAATGTATTTGAAGCTAACTGAGTCAAGAAAGTTACATCGACTTCTTCTTCAGTCTCTGACTTGCCTCCTTAAGTCTTAGACTTTTCCTTACTCCCCCATCTTTGACTTTTCCTTGAGGACTTTTCCTTTTAGTTGTTTCTTCTTCATGACCAAAAAGAATACTTGTTTCTTCTTCTGGTGGCTGCTGATATTTCTTAATAAGAGAAATCATGGGATGCATATTACTCTCCTTATCCTGCTCGATCTCCACCTGCAAACCAAAAAACAAAACAAACAAGAGTGGATTTCGGATTTCTGTACCTTTTTGTGCCTTATATAATAAACTTACATCTAAAATTGGCATCGCGTCTCTGCATTTCTTGATAGCATTATAATTGACTTGGCAATTCCTACAGTCCAGCCGTGCTGCTGGCTTACCCAAACCAAGGAGTACAGCAAGTTTGCCCAGCTGGTGTTAAACACAACTTTCTCATGTTACAAAATAAAACAAGTTACCAAATGACAAAGACCAAAGCAGAGATGATAGATAGATTACCTTGGACCCGGACGAAATGAAGGGAACAGTATCAATTATTTCTTTGGGCCTAGGTGGTGATTTCCCAATATGCTTACATTCTTTTTCCAACATTGGAAAATCGGATTTGCGCAGGTCGTGGCCAATCCAGGTTTTGTTGTGGAGCATATAGTAGACACGGTTGTAGGATTCAGATAATGTAGGTTCATTTTTTAACCAAGCTGGAGTGTTTCTTGCAGGTCTACCATTTATCTGAGTAGCTTGAACGCAAAACCCGGTTTCAGTAATAACTGCCAGCGTCTTGGAAGTCACTTCCATTCCACCGAAATGCAGCAACCCGTTACTACCTTTTTTGAAATCGAAGAAAGTAACACGGTCCTCCCTCTCCAGCATCGGTAAAAAAAAATACACATGAGAGAGATTTAATTCACTTCCAACTCCAAATCCGGAAATCAGACAAACACACAAACAAAGAACAAAATTCCAGAAGCAGCTTTTTTACCTTCATCGCGACCAACAATCTCTCTTCTAGAGAAGATGGAGATTCAGCTAAAGATTTCCGAGGGGGATTCTCTTTTCCTAACAGATGAACCCAAAAGAAAACAATTACTCTGAGCTATGAATTCTAAACGACATTGTATTTGATTCGTGACAAGAAAATCCTTTTCCTTACCCTCCAGTTTTTGACTTTTTCTTGGTTCACTACCCCTTGCTGATTTAGTTGTTGCTTTTTCTGGTGGCTGCTGAAATTTCCTCAGATGAGAAATCATGGGATAGATATTACTCCCCATATCCTTCTCCTTCTCCATATCTAAAATTGGCATCGCGTCTCTGCATTGCTTGATAGCATCGTAATTTTCTTCGCAATTGTTATAGTACCCAAGTGATGGCTCACCCAAGCCAAAGAGTACAGCAAGTTGGGCCAGCTGCATCATTGGTTAAACACAAGCTCATGTTACAAAATCAACAAGTTAAGAAATGACAAAGACCAAAGCAGAGATAGATACCTTGGTCCCAGACGAAATGAAGGGAACTGTATCAATTATTCCTTTGGGCTTAGGAGATGGTTTCCCAATATGATTAAATTCTTCTTCCAACTTTGCCCAATCAGAATTGACTAGGCCGTGGCCAATCCAGAATTTGTCGTGGAGGATAAAGTAGACAGACTTGTAATATCTATCTAATGTAGGTTTGTTTTTGTCCCGAGCTGGAGTGGTACTTGCTGGTTTACCAGTGTTATCAGTAGCTTGAACGCAAAACCGGCATCGAGTAATAACTGACAGCGTCTCAGAACACGCTGTCATTCCACTGAAATGCAGCAACCCATCCCTACCGTCTTTGAAATCAAAGAAAGCAACAAGCTTCCCCAACTCCGGCATCTGTGAAAAAACAAGAAAATTATACATGAGAAATTTAATTCACATCTCCAGCATCCATAACAAAACCGATCGAAACCGTAGAAATCTATGTCACGTAACCAAGAAGAACCAATCAGATTGTATGAACCAATAACGATACAAAGGCTTGAAAAAAAAGAGAGTTGATTATTTATATAATTTGGTACCATTCTAGGCTCAAGATATGGAGGAAACTGTAAAGGCAAAAAATAAATGCTCTCATCCGATTAGGACAATGACACCATATATCTCCAAGATCATATAGAAAACTTTTGAAATTCAAGCAATCAAGAGTCACCAAAATCAGAGACAAGGCAAAAGAGATGAATTTATCACCGAATCAATGATTCAAAACAAACTCAGTATTCGATGAACAGGATTTTGAATTTCATCATCAATATTAATTTAATGGAATTTCAGATCAAAAGAAACATAATCGTAATGAAACTATATATTCTTCTCAATTTCATATACTCAAGACAAGAGCAAACTCTAGTCTTCTCTACACAACACAGTGATTTATCGAATTCAAGAATCTAACTCATGAAAAATTACAGATTGAGAGCAGAGATGAAATTGAAACAAACGATCGAGACCAACAATGACGCAAGTAAGAAGATTTCGTTCATGCTTGGGAAATTAGTTAATGGGGTAGAGAAAGGTGGTACCTTTGAACTCGGTCACTCGAGAATCCGAATCACTGAATCAGATATGTAACTGGGTCAAAAGTTCAAACTCGATTAGAAAAACAGGAACCAACTTTCGTTGCCAATAAAAATTGAAGTCGTAACATAGAAAATTGAAATCGTTTTCACCTGGGATTTGAAGGGCTTGACAAAGATCAATTATAAGAATTATGACAACTTTAGGATACGATGGAGACTAGAAAATTGGACAAGAAAAGAACTAGGGTTCACGATTATATGTGTTTTGTTTTTGGAAAATTTTTTTTTTTTTTTTTTTATCTCAATATTCCCGCATAAAATAAAATCTCAATAAAAAAAATAGCGTCATTTTTATTTAAATTGATACTAATTATTAGCCCTGGACACAAATACTCGGACCCGAAAAACCGACCCGAACCCGACCCGACTCAAAAATGAGGAACCGAACTCGAATCGGAACCGGTCAAATACCCGAACGGGTTTTAGTTTTTTTTTTTTTTAAGTACTCGGACCCGATCCGAAAAAAATACGGGTACCCGAAACACAAGTATATATCTCAAAAATACTTAATAATAATCCAACTACTCAAAATTATATTTTTTTTTAAGATATTTCAGTTTTTTTTTAATAATTTTGAATAATTTGAGTATTTTTTGGGTGCTTTAGATATTTTTTGGGATAATTTATATATTTTTAGTGCAATATAGCTATATTTATTTCGGGTATTTTGCGCAATTCGAATACTACTTGAATAATTCGGAGCTAATTTTTTGATTATTTTGGATACTTTTGGATATCTTATTATATAAAGTTGGGTTTTCGAAGTTGCTAACTCAAGAGATTGCGACACGTCTTATATTTATCGGTCATAGATTTTGACATGTGTCAAAAAAAAATTTTGTTTTTAATAATTTTAAATATGTAAAAAGATAATTATGAGAAAATATAAAAATTTAAAAATGTAAAAAGATAATGTTAAAAAAATTATAAATTAAATAAATTTTAAAAATATAAAAAGATAATGTTAAGAATTTTTTAAATTTAAATATGTTAAAAAGTCTAAGAAGATAATTCTAGTTACTAATTATATTTTTAAACTACTAATTATAAAAGAAAAAGTATTACATAAATTAAGAAATTATACAATTAATTAATCTACATATACATTTTTACAGTACTTTTTTGCTTTAATTCATTTGGATCCGGGTTTTACCCGGTTTAAAGCTATTCGGATCCTGGATAAGAGATTTAAGGAAATGTGTAATAAAAAACGACATTATCTCTTTAATTACCTATTTAACTCTGTTTCCTTAATTTATTCCCACATTAATCGGCATGTCATTAGCATTTATTATTTAAATTTGCAAAATTTAATAAAGATATTAAGCAAACTAAATATCGAATATGTTGCTATATTCTCGATTGTATATTCTCGATTTAATGTTTTCAATTCTACCTAATCCTAACTAATTTAATATTAAATATTGTTGTTTCCTTACCTAAGATCTCATTTTGGTGTGATTTTAATAGATTTCATTTACTATTTACTATAAATCAAGGCTTCAAATATTCGAATAATTTATTATAAATAAAACAATTACTACTCTTCTAACCGAAATTATAGCATATTCCTAAAGTACATACGATAATTGCTATGTAAATCTTTTTTGGTAAGATATCTCTTCAAAAAAAAACGACAATAAAATTAAATGCTAACAATAATTGTAATATCAGAATCAAATCTTCGATTTATACATATGCATGGTAATATGCAATTTTTAAGTAGTACAGTATACCAATTGTGAAGAATATTTCTCACACAAGTTACGGTAATTAGTTTGAATAGTTCCTAATCATGTGGGATCTGTTTTCCTTATATGCCAACATATCGAAATTTGAAATTTAAATCCAAAAATAATTGGAAAAAAGTTCGTAATTCGCCCTAAAGGCTGAATCTATATATAGATGCTTCTTGAGATCTTCTCTCTATATAGGTGCCAAAGTCTTTATCGGTTTCTCCATATTATCTAGGTCTTTTAGGTGTATATCCCTTTGATTATTGCATTACTTGCTTGCTGATTGCTAATCGTTGGCTTGATAGTATAATTCTAGGGTTTCATTAGGATTTTAATGAATGTATGATTATGACTTGATTAAGTTGTATTGACTGGAAAAACATGGCAGATAGCACCAGTGAGCATGTTATAGCATTGAAAGAAGCGATACACCATGATATTATCGTCAAACCTGGTGACAATGGTCCAAGAATTCTACTCCCACTAAGCTGTTTTAATAAAATCTTTTAGAACTATATCAATTATTTGGAGTTATATATATAGGAATCTAACTTATAATCTTTTTTTAACTTCTTGATATACAACAGATAATTAAATCAAAAGTGTTTAGAAACGTGTTGGAGTCAGAGTGAATGAAGTTTAGAAAAAGGAGTGCAACGATAGGTTGATTCCGTTCTCTTGGTCTGCGTTACTCTGTTTCTATTTTGGTTCGTCCCCTGTTTTGCTCTGTTTTTTATTATTCTGTATCTGAACCCTTTTATTTAATATATCGATTCATTGAGACAAAAAAAAATTGTTGGAAAAGGAAGCAGAGAGGACGAGCTCGTGGTAGTGAGACTTTGGTGAAGAAGAGAAGAGGAAGAAGGAGGAGTAAGATAAAGCAGGGATCGTGAATGCTAGAGCTTTTGATTTCGACATCATTGATCATTATAGCTTTATCTTAGATAATCACCAATCGAAAGGGATTTTTTTTTGTTTACTGTAGTTTAGAGTGTGATGGTTTTTATGATAAGGATTTGATGTTCCCAATTATTGATCTTCGAAGGAATCTTTTTAACTTTAATATCATCTCTTTACTTAGAATATTGATTAGGAATAGGATACATAAATTATTACCACACCATACTGATTTTAGGTCCCATTTGTGACAAAACATAAAAAGGTTTTTAGTGATACTGTTCGAAGTGTCAAAAATATTAAATAATCATAAAACACAATTTCCAAGTTTTTGTATTCTCCTTCTCTTTTTGATATCAGTTCTTACTAATCAAACTTCTAATTGAACATTAGTCTCTTACCAATCGGTAAGGAAATGCCATATTTTACCATATATGACAATCGTAAATGATAATCATAAAATATACTTACCCGTGAAATATTTATGTGTTGAAATAATATCCTCAATTTATATTTATATATTTTAGATGAATTTTAAAGAAATTTTCTGTTATTTTTTAGTGAGTCGTATATTCAAATATCATATCTTATATTTAATCGGATCTGGATAAAAAGATCCACTTCATTAAAAACGGGTCATGTATTATTATGATCTGTTTTTTTTCTTTTGGGTTAAGTTTAGTCCTTTATATTTTTTTAACACATTAATAATAAACATAAACAACTCTATATATCATTTTCATATATTAAGCATAAATTTATAAACAATTGTTAAATATATATAAATTTATAAACACTAATAAATTTTTTTGGCACTTTGCCAAATTAATAGCACGAAGACTCCCTAAAAAGATGATGTGATATTTGTTTTTAAAAAATTATTTTTATTGTCATGCGGTGTACCATATATCTATAAATCATCTTAAAAATAATAATTTTTATTTAGTAAAAATATAGGCCCGCGGTGTACCGCGGGTTAATTTCTAGTATAATGTAATTATTAATTCTAAAAGAAAAAAGGAAGAGAAATTGCTACAAATGCCCCTCCTTCTCTATCACTTTTCAAAAATGTACCTCTCTAATCTACCCCTCTCTAATTTGTATTAAAGAGACCATTATACCCTTCTGAAACAAATCTAAAGCTCCTTCCGATTTCGAAAACTTTCACTCGACGGAGTATGTCGAGTTCCTCAAATCCCTCACGCCAGAAACCATAACCGATCCTTCCGTCTCTCAAAAACCTCAAGCAATTCAACATAGATGTGGACTTGGACGGTCCTGTCTTCCATAACCTCTTCGATTATTGTCGTGCTTACGCTGGTGGTACTATTAGCGCCGCCGCTAAATTGAACCGTCAAGAAGCAGATATTGCTATCAATTGGGCCGGTGGGATGCAAAATGCGAAGAAAGATAAGGCTTCTGACTTTGGCTATGCCAATGACGTTGTGCTTGGGATTCTCGAGTTGCTCAAAACTTTCAAGGTAACTGTTTGATTTAGTTTCAATATACAATCGCGGAATTTGCAATTTCATGAACTTCATGCGTTGATTCTTGAATTAGGCTTAGAATCTGCTTCTATGAATGACTTGTCTCTGGGAATTTGCAATTTTCCTCAACTTAATGTTCAGATTTGAATCTTGATGCCTCTTGCGCTTAGAATCTTGATGTTTCTGGGAATAGGTTAGGAATTTTATGATATCAGCTATTGAAGAACATTTTGTTTTTCACTTGAGTTATTGAATTAGGCCTAGTTAGCATGGTGAGACTGAATGCTTTGTTTAACTTTGATTTTGACAGAGAGTTCTCTACGTAGATATTGGCTTTCGTCATGGGGATGGAGTGGAAGAAGCATTTAAGGACACTGATAGAGTTATGACTGTTTATTTCCACAAAATTGGGGACTCCGGAGACATAAGTGACTTTGGGGAAGGAAGAGGACAATATTATTCACTAAATGCACCATTGAAGGATGGTTTAGATCAAGGTTCAAAGAATCCCTAGGCGCTAGTTAGGCGTTCGAATGAGGCCTAGCGCCTAGATCGATTAATCGGGGCCTAGTCGGGGCCTAGGCGTTAATGAATTATTATTATATTTCTAAATATTTTTAATATTTTTATAACAAATTATAATTTATAAAATATGAAATACAAAAAATATTACATATTTGAACTTCTTATATATATTTATACCTATTTTATATAAGAATTATATAGTTTAGTCACTGTAAATAAAAAAACTGAGACTAACTAAATTATAATTTACAATTTAATAATTAATTATCTTTTTCTAATCTTTTCATTTTATTATTTTTTTTTATTTATTCAAAATAATGTTATATTAAAAAAAAAAAACAAAAAAATCAGAAAATAAACCGGCCGATTTGACCGATTTGGCCGATTTCTCCGATTTTTAACGCCTAAACCGGTAAACCGATTTGATTCACCGATTTTACGAAAATCGGGGCGCCCGGAGGCTCATGAGCGCCTAGGCGGGCGCCTAGTAGCCGCCTAGGCCGATTTTTAGAACCTTGGTTTAGATGATAGCAGTCTTCAGAAACACTTGAAGTGTGAA